ATAATATAGCTCATACTAGCATAAGCTATAATTCATAAAGATATTGTGTAAATTGGCCAAAATATAACGATAAATGTTAAGTAACTCAGAAAAAAAACTCTGTCATCTGCGAGCTATTTTGGCGTGAACACGCATCACGCAAAAACCTGTGAACCGACTTGGATGGGACTTTCACTGGCAGATAGCTGATATTATAAGGAGTAACTTAGTTACTTTTATTTTAGGGTTCCGCGCAAAAAAATCTACGCGAGCGAAGTCGCGGGGAACAGCTAGTCCTTTATAAAAATAATCTCAACCTCAACTTTATTTGATCTTATCTTCTCAACCAATCAAATCAGAATATGCAATCCACGTTTCTGCCATTTCACAGAATATATGCGGTAGTGCGTCTCGGCAAATACGCGATGTTTCACAATAAAATCCATTAAAGGTTTTAACTTTTGTTTGAAGACTTTTGCCGTAATGTCATCGCGATCAATGGGTGATTGGCCGGGGAATAACTCAAGTTAGATTTCTGTTCACTGCAAATTGCACGTGAATGTAGTAAATAAATCCGCTGTTTCATAATGACATCCGTATTCAGCGCAGAGCGGCTCGAATTGTCGACGACCGAGTCTTTTCCGATCGGCTCGATTATTGGCGCTGCGAAGAGATGTTGCATCTCTTTGCATTTTCTTTCGAATTTACCACGGGGAGTGCTCTGAGGAATTGTTCGAATTGATCCCAGCCGTAAAATTTCACAAACGCACATCACGGCAGAACTCCCGATACCATCCACACCATCTGGTTCATTGGCGGTCCACCACTGTGCGATTTAGAAGATGTTTTCTTCCTAGCAAAACTTCCTTGTGGAATAGTTTACCACAAGCGATTTTTCCGTACCGATACAACTTGGGACATTCAAGAAAAGAGCCTACTCCTTTTTAAAAGGTCGGCAACGCATCTGCAATTCCCCTGGTTCCCCTGGCGTTGCGGTTGTTCATGGGCGGCGGCAGTCACTTACCATCAGGTGAGCCGCATGCTCGTTTGCCCCCTTTCCTATAAAAAAAATATAAAAAAATGGCATCATGAGTATATTCATGCATATGTCGAGGAATTTCGATGTTGCTGGAAGAATTGTCGTCCGGTCGATATTCTCCGCATTTCCTTATATTTAAAAAATACCTAATTAGTCCAGCCGTCCGCGAGGTTTGCGCTTAGCAACACATTTAGCCATTAATTTTTATTTATTATAGATTAACGAATTATTTAATATCACCAAACATTGACCAGTATCACCAAATATCAAAAATGGCAGCTTATAAACAATACAGGACTTGGAAATGAAATTTATAAGTCGATAAAGGATATAGTTTTAAAACATTTGGAAAGATTAACAAGAAAATATCTAGTTCTTACTGTTATTTCAGCACATTCTTGGTCCATCTATGGAGCTGTTGCTAGAAATGCATTCTGTGGTTATATTTATCCACTGTTATAATCTTGTAAAATCTGACATAACCAGAGAAAGAGAGAGACTCACGATACAGATACCATCTGCACAGGACAGACATCTGAGATCAATCTGACTCTGGCCTGCTACTGAGAGTTTCTTGACATAAAAACCCCATATGGAAAAGTGGGCAAACGAACACGCGGCTCATCTAATGGTAAGTTTCCACTGCCGCCCGTGAACATCTGCAACACTAAGGGAATCGCAGGTGCGTTACCGGCCTTTTAGTAAAAGAGTAGACTCTTTTCTTGAGGGTCCCGAAGTCGTATCGGTCCGGAAAAATCGTTGGTGGTAGTTGATTCCACAAGGAAATTGTGCGGGAAAGAAAAAAATTCTTCCTGTAAGTCGCACAGTGGTGGACCGCCAATCATACAGATGGTATGGATGGTATCGCGAGTTTTGTTTCGATGTGCGATAGTGAACTGAGCGGCTGCAATAAGTCCGAACAATTCTTCATAACACGCTCCGTAATAGATGCGAAAAAAAATGCAAAGAGATGCAACATCTCTTCACAGTGTCGGTGAGTCAAAGCGATCAGAAAGAGCTCGGTCACCGATAATTCGAACCACTCTGCGCTGGATACGATCAAATGAAAGGAAATGGCGCTGGGAAGCCCCGGCCCAGAGATGAGAACAGTATTCCATGTGTGGCCCAACCTGCGCTTTGTAAAGTTGCAGGCAGTGTGCCGGCATGAAATGTCATGCTCTGTTGAGCACACCAAGCTTTCTGAAGAGAAGAAGAGGAGAAGAGAGGCCATATTGGCCATCTCTTCCCTGCACGTCATTCGATATGTCGGCATTGAGGATTCCGATATTGGTGGTGGCAACAAGGAGAGTGTCCTGAAACTGAGGAGATACGACAAAGGGCTTCTTTTTGGACTGGACTAAATTTAGTCGCCCCCAATCCGAGACTTTGTTCAACGAAGTCTCAACTTCAGACATAAGTTTGTTCCGGTACTTGGCGATGTTTTCCTGAGAAATATTGGCACGGCCGGTATATAAAGCAATCGGTAGGGTTGTCGTCCACATAGCAATGAATGTTACCGGTTTGTACCGGTAACATATCATTGATATGCAGAAGTAATGGCGTTGGTGATAGCACGCAGCTTTGTGGAACATCAGCGTTAATACGTACGTAATCGAAGCATGTTCCATCTACTACAACCTTTATGCTCCAATCTACAAGAAAGCTGGTGATCCAATTGCACAATTTCTCGGGAAGCCCATAGGAAGGGAGCTTCTAAAGGAGCGCTGTGTGCCAAACCCGATTGAAGGCCTTCGCAATATTCTATTGTAGCTCGGAGTATGCAGCATTTGGATGTGGTCGATGAGTAGGTCTGTGTCGGCATTACTTATATGGAATCCATAGAGGCACCCGTAGACGCGGGGATGTTTGTCGCTGTCTACGCGCAGCCATAGGATGGACAGGTCCATACCTTCAAGACTGCCGAGCCGTTGAAAACAGATATCCTCTCTGACGTATACGCAAACTCCAGCCCGGGCCACAAAGGAGTGTTCTAATTTGTATCCCGGGTAGGGGGGATACGAAGTATCAGCTGGTTAGGACACCTGGGTCGCGGTAAGAAAGAGCAAGGCCGGCTTTCCCTCTTCTCTCACCCACAGAATACGTGGAGCCCGAGCACCCACGCTCATGGAGAGTTGGGTAGCGTGGGCGTGGATGCTCAGCGGGGGGTCTCCGTCATTAGAGGTGCTGGCACCTTCCTTAGGTAGTGTTTTATTTAACTCCACTGCCCTGTTTAGGTGGCAGGAAGAGTAGGGTAGGGTGGGTGTGGATGCCCAGCGGGAGATCTCAATCAATAGAGGTGCTGATACCCTCCTAGGGCAGTGTTTTATTTAACTCCACTGCCTTGTTTAGGGCGGGGGGGGGGGGGGGGGGGGATTGTACTTACCAGGTGAATGCTCTCTACACTTAACCTACCATAGTTACATACAAGCTATTTCCTCTTTTTCACCAAGATTGCAAAGTAGCTTGAATCTGAGGAGAAGCTTGAGGAGTTGTAAGATAAATGCTTTCTAATATTTTTGTAAACGCATTTAAAAAAAATAGTTTTAATCAAATATTGTTTTTGTTTAATTTTTTTTAATAAAATCTGTGCAATCAATAAATCTACAATTCAAATTAAGAAAAAACAAGATGACCTCAAAATTCTCACTTCACCTTTACGACTATGCAGCGACCGCTCCAAACGGACTGCAAATGACCGATCAGCGACCACTAGCTAACAAATATTATTATAAAGCCATTTATTTACTTAACAAAATTATTAAAATATATTTCATTAATTATTAAATTCATGAAATAATTTAAAATTAGAAAAAAATTATAACATACAGATCATGAAAGAAAATACATTTAAATAAGATAAAATTATCGTTACAATCAATAATGACTATGCACTTTTTGACACATATTTAACGAGTTTTTATTTATCAAATTATTGTTAAGGACCTCTCTATGAGTATAGGTCTCCTCCAGATATTTCCACTTTTCCCTATCCTTGGCCACTGAAATCCAATCGTCTCCAGCACACCTGTCAATTTCATCCGTCCAGCTTCTAGGAAATCTATCTTTTTTTCGTTTTCTAGTAGGGCCAGCCCATGTTGACCTTCTTAGTCCATGTTTTATCTTCCATACGTGCAATATGCCCCTCCCATTTCCATTTAAGTTTCTTACAATGAGATAGAGCATCTATAACATTTGTTCTTTTTCTAATTTCAGTATTTCGTTCTTTGTCTTTACTTTTCAGATTAAGTAAACGCTAGCGACCATTAGCTTACAAATATTCGCCACGTGCCCGAGCGCGAATCGTAAGAGCCTCACGCCCCATTTCGTCTTTACTTCCCCATACAGCCTATATCGTGAGCTCATTTTGCGCATGTAATTAAACCATCGATTTGAGTTGACAAAAACTTTAAAAATCTCTACAATATACGGTAACAGGATACACGGAGTAATAGATGGAGAAAAAAGTCGAATATACACAGCGCTGATATACGCTGACAAGTAGCGACTTGCAAATAAGGTGCGACAAGTCGTGGAACTAAAATATTCGCCGAAATTCATTGCAATAATGAAATAACGTCCATGCCAATTTTTTGCCCAGATGGTTTACCGATAACATGAAGTCTGTTGGCTTATTATCAGGGTGGGTCAATCTTGCGTCCGTATACTGGACGCAACAAGTCGGTCGGATGCAACTGCGTCGGTAATTTCACCCATGTAGGACGCAAGATTACTAATGGGATGTAAATGTATATATATATATATATATATATATATATATATATATATATATATATATATATATATATAATATTTATATATATATATAATATTTATCAGGAAAGTGCATTACTTTGAATGTCGATTTTGAGATGATGGCTCAAGACAGTACACTAAAGTCTGCGATACAGAGATTCATCGGTAGACTTGAAGTGGTAATGATGATGGTGAAGTGTTGCTGAACTATGCTAACTTTTTTTTTTAGATACAAGCGTATTACGACTTTAGACGGTCTCATGAGAAATACTGTTGTAACCTGCTTCCCACTGGAGTACGTTCTGCATTTGATCATTCAATAATTTCAATATTGGCACCTAGAGACCAGCATGGACGACGTATAATGCTAATAGATTCTGGAGGTAAATATTTTAGATATTTTTTGTTACTTAATGAGAAACGTTAGGTTTATTAATTGCATACAATATTGAAAAACCAATTGCTGTCCTAGTCTTGCTAAAACTCGAAAATGGTTCGACTAATGTTGATGATTTTTTTTGTGTGTGTTCGAATGGGCCCTGGATGGCTTAGATTTTCAACTAAACCCAGTAGGTGGCGTTGTTGTCGAGATCAAGAAATCACCCGTGTGAAGTCGGGTCAGATCGTATACAATACACAATATTTAACTAAAAACTAAAACTAAAAATGCAATTTACTTCCCGCGGTACGATTTCTTCGCCGAATGGCTATATCCACAGGCAATACTTAGGCCTTTGGCCTTTGAACAAGGAAAGATCCGGTTATAAAATATATTATGTATATATTAAATTTAGAGCACCTAATGTTAAACAAGTGAATACCATGATACCAGTATGCTTTTCAATGGGAAAGAGCTGAGTCTTGTTTAATCACTGTTTTTCTCGGAATTACATTTGACGCGAAGCTCCTGTGGGGCCCTCACATATTTAAACTCGCTAAAATTAAATCCGCAGCATATGCTGTAAAAAAGATTAGAGGCCTTATGTGTTGAAACAACTAGATTAGTTTATTTTAGTTATTTTCATAGCTTAATGTCATATGGAACCTATCTTTGTTTTGCAGAAGAGAGCCATAAGAGGAATTTATAACTTAAGTCCTAAGGAATCCTTTAGAGAAAATTTTAAAGAAATAAATATATTAACTTTGGCCTCTCACTATATTTACGAAAATTTAATGCATACAAAAACAAAAATAATTTGATTAAAAATAGTGATACTACATTCTGCAAATTATTTAGTAAGGGTTTCCCCTGGGAATGACGTGATCGCTACTATGCTGTTTCTAAATGATTTCATACTAATTTTATATCCCGCTAGGTTTTTTGCTGGTTCTTCCTACGACAGAGGTTTTTTCCAGAGTTAGTGGTAAAGCTTAAATGTCTTTTAATAAGTATTCTTGCAATCTATATTATGTTTGTAGAAAACCGGAATTATATATGTAATCTATTTTATTCAGTATAGCCAAGTATAACTCCATTATGAAATAATCATCGCTTGCATAGTTTATAATAATGCAAACGAATAATTCGTATAAACATCTGAAAGTATAATTAGATTTTAATTGATCGGTCAAAAATCATACACATATACGTATATACTCGTACATAACATAATACACATATACGCATATGTTATACACATATACCTACGAACATTTATTTAAATATTTTAATGGCTGTATAATTCATATTCGATAACAAGCAAAAAAATCTCTTTAAAGCTCAAAAGCAAAGACGATTGACAAACAAAGAGCGTCAAAAACATGTCACTGACCCTGAAAGCTAAATATGATTTAAATTGAACAAATAATATTTAAATAAATAATTTATAAATTTTACATAATTGTCACTTAAGACCCATGGTCACGGTTAAAGGTATTCATAAGTTAAAATTAAGCGCGATAACATCAGTATGGTATTTTGTTTTAGCACATAAAGTATATATTTATACAATAGCTATATAATATATTGAAAAAAAGTAAATGGTCCACACTAAAGGATACACAAAACAGTAAATGGTCTCATTTACGTTCTGAATTAATATTATTATTACTATTATAAAAAGTGCAAGGAAGAGTATTTAGAAATGTTGGATAAATGCGGAAAAGCTTCTACAATTGCTATAATGATTTCATGCAAAATATTAAGTTAATATTAAATACATCTATTTCTTATATCTTCCAAGTTGGTTGCGCATTTATTTCGGTTTTAATCCGCATTGTTTTTCGCATCCGCAGAGTCAGTGCAATTATGGACTACAATTATATTTAAAACAGAGAAAGTACAGAGTTTATGCAAATAGAGCCAAGCCAGGAATACATTATATTATCTTTATTTTGTTTACGTTGTCAAATATTTGTAATATACGTGATAGAGCCATGCTGCAGCCGGCTCGATCGGGGAAGGACCACGCTCTCACAGAATACCAGCGTAAAATAGCAGCTCAATGTTACTGTGTATCGTATGGTGAGTGTATCGAACCGGAGACCCTTTTAACTGGAAACAAGGCATTCTATCTTAGTCCTCAGAGGTGGAAACGCATCTGCATTTTGATTCTTAATCGAGGATAGATGTAGATGTCTACACAGCATCCATACCATCAGGTGGACTGTGTGTTTGTTTGTCACCATTATTCCATAAAAATAAATAAATATGGGTAACATAATACCCTATAATACGTTTCTCTATAAAACTGAAATGACAAACGAACTCATGGCATTAACGCTGATGGTAAGTGGCTACTGCAGTCTATGGACATCTGCAGTCTTCGTTGTTTAAAGTTGGTTACTTTAAACAACGAAGCCTACAGATGCGTCACCTTTGAGGACTAAGATGGACTGCCTTACATCCTCTAATTATACTGACTCTCTTTACTCTTCAGATCAAAATAAAGCAGTGCAAGCTTGCTATCTAGACGGACTCTGGCAGTCTTTCAGAGTAGTCATTGATGACAAGACTTTTGCTATTTCTGCATGATTTCTGCCGGTGAGAGTACAACTATTATTAGAGTGTAATCATTATTGTGTACCGGTTTGAAGTGTAAAAGTGCCAGTTTAATATCCCACCTTAATCCTCGCAATTAAGAGCTGGCAACCCACTTGCAGCCTTCTTTGTTTAGAGGTGCCAGTGGACACTGCGAGCGCATTGATACACTAACGTCATAAAAATGTATTATGCGCAGAACGTTGGCAGCATCGCCTGGTGCCACTGACGGAAGTATTCCGAGGAGTTCAGTTAGCGTTGGAAGCGGCGATGTCAGAGCCGCTGACGCAAATCAACGGGGTTATTGTGATGCTGGATATGAAGGGGTTGTCATTTTCTCAGGTCATGCAGTTTACACCATCATTCGCTAAGATGGTCGTTGATTGGATTCAGGTCAGCATTATTGAATTTCGTAACTTTTGTAGATTAACCTGCCTTGTGGTTGCGGTGTTAGAAAATCTACAACTGAAAAAATCATGCTGTTAATAATATAAACTCCAGTTAAGCACTCGGAAGCTATAGGGTCTTTCAAGCATATCCCATAGTCGCCTCTTCCGACAACCTTGCGACGAAATAGGAAAATGGATTTTCACATCACACTGCAACGTCGAATTGACATACCTAATGAGAAAACTAGATTTCGTCACTACTATCGTAAAAAAATTAAGCTTATCGTAACTAGGCCTACGTAAAATAGTGGACTTTTTATAGACTGTACTATACAACGTACTGGCTAGCATGATTAACCGATATCGTGTTTGTTTTGTTTTATTCAATTCCAGGACTGCATACCAATAAGGCTAAAGGCTGTTCACATTATAAATCAGCCTTACATCTTCAATATGCTGTTTGCGATTTTCAAACCCTTTTTACGTGAAAAGCTGCGCTCTCGCATCTATTTTCACGGTTCGGATATGCAAGCGCTACTGTCACACGTTGACGCTAAAACGTTGAGGAAACGACATGGCGGGCAGCTTCCGGAACCGGAGATTACTGGCGAAGTTCTATGGAAAATGCTACATCATTACGAAGAAGATTTCAAAGGTAAATAAAAGACTTTAGTTTCACTATAATATACAAGACTACAGCAAGGACTAGCGGTCAGAGTACTTGCTTACTAAGCCGCGGATTAAGATTTCTATATGTAATAACAGCCAGAGGTAACATTTTACAGATAACTTAATTGCATCTGAGTATAAACAAAGGCGCTTTATATCCTGCACAGTTAATGGCTATAGATTTTTCGTCATTACTACTTGTGGTCAAATTTCTTTAAACTTAATCTGAATATTTTGTCTGAAAAACTTCAAATATGTTTAAATACTTTTGTATTTTACTTTTCGAAACGCTAAAGTAAGAACATACATAAGATAACAGAAAATCTTCAATTCTACATAAATGGAGTCAATTTACTTATCTTGCTTTTTCTAATTTCATTTTCAAATAAGGCAAAAAAAAAATGTTGCATGTAATTAGTACTATTATTTATTCTGTGTTAGTGGTTATACTTGTACCTTCTGATGTACTTACTTGAAAAATTCAATTATTAAGTTGTACCAGTGGTATCTACTATGTGTGACGTTATGTTTTATATGACATTTTTTTTATAGGATAAGGGTGACAAACGAGCACACAGTCCACCTGATGGTAAGTGGTTTCTGCGGCCCATAGACATCTACATCTATCCTCGTTTGCGAATCAAAATGCAGATGCGTTGTCACCCGTGAGGACTAAGATGGAATGCCTCATTTCCAGTAAAAAGGGCCTCCGGCCACCTGCACTCAACAAGCGAAACGCAGAGGTAAACCTCTACTTCACGCTGGTATTCTGTGAGATCGTGGTACCACCCCGGTTCGAGCCAGCCCATCCGTGCGACAGCAAAAGCCGCCACGTGGCTCTACCACGGTTAAACATGAGACATGCCGTCTTTATTGATTTCATTCTTAATGTTAATACAAATCGACAGTGATATACTCTTCTTTTTGTTTATTTCTTTATTATTATACTTATAATATATACTTACCTATATTATATACTTTAAAATTAACATATATAAGGAAATTAAGATTAGAATTGAAGCGATCAGGTGAGTTGTTTTCGACATCAAGTGATGATGACGTCTATGGATGATGCTTATATGACAAATCCATATTTACTTGATAAAGATAAAAATTTGAAGTTGCCTTGCAAATATACGTGTCGCCAACTTTAAAAATTAATAGTTAGTGTGGTATAAGCCAAAGAGTATAGTATTATATAAGGAAGGTATAAGCACTATGAACTGACAGTCACACACACTTCGATTTTATATTATCATTTTTTTACTAACACGCATAACTATTTCTAATTATTTAAGAAAAAAATACATGCCTGTTTCTTGTTATTTTTAATTTTATTAATTTCCTGTTTTTATGGATATTGCAAATTAAGCCAAAAATCATTTAAAACATTCAAGATTTTTTTTAAAACATTATACAAACCAATCCCCAAGCCACAAGCCAAACCGGTCGTTGGCTATAAAACAAAATTAGCTAATTCGCCGAGACTTAATGTTTTTTTGTTATTCAAGCTAGATACACAATTCCGTGCAAAAGTTCTCTAAAAACTGTCGCTAATTATTGTTTTGACGTAATTCTAGTTGAAATAAATATACATTAATCTAAATTCAACCTTAAACGCATTGCTTAAAGTTGTGTTCACAAAGCTACACGTACAAATTAAAATCGCACCCAAATGTTCGAGTGTCGACATTTTTTGTCACTGATTGTGTACCTATCTTCAAGTTAACTAATACGTTATCAAATAAAGAAAACAATGCTATACACTAAAGAATTTATTTTTAGAAAACTTATACCAACACGAACGTATTAACCAACATTTTTTTGTTCATATGGGACCAAGTTTTAAATCGTCAGGTAAAAGTTGTCCATCGATTAAATTATAATCTGACTCTTTTTTTATGGAAGAGGAGGCAAACGAGCATACATTTTTACGTGGTAGAGCCCTGCTGCAGATAAATTAGATAAATTAAATTAGTAGTAGTTTTACATAACGTAAAATTTTTGAGTTGCGTGAAATTTAAAGTTCATCTTTCTTCTGAATTATCTTTCGAATAATACTTAGAAAGTCGAGTTGTGTCTTGTGTGCTCTGACTTGTTCATGACGCGTGACGAAACGCGTCTTGATCATGCAATTTATGTTAAATGTTAGCCATGGATAATTATTGCTTTTTTATGTATCTTTATATCTTTATATGTATGTACGATCATCATTGGTGTATTTTTATCAAATATTATGTCAGTCTGCAAAAATCTGTCATCTGCGAGTTTGAACTGACTTTCACTGGCAGATAGTTCTTCATTTAATCTTTTTAAACATGAAGATATTGATTAAAGTTAATTAATTATGTATGAGGCCTTAATTTTATTAGTCCACACTCGACCACAGTGTCACCCGTCGGATTCAGATTATGCAATTTCCTTTTTTATCATTTTGTAATAAATAGTAGAATCAGGCGTTACTTTGTGGAAATCCATTACAACATAGATTTTAAACTCATTTAATCAGTTAAGATCGGCATAAAAATAGATAAAAATTATTAGTAACATAACATTCTAATACAGGATTAACCAATAATTTTACTTCGTATATTAGTTTAATGTTACATTTAAATGTTTTGATTTTTTACGTGTCGTTTTCTTTTCAGTGGCAAATTCATATGGATACGTCTCCAACAATAATAAGCAATAAAGCATCAACATGTGCAAGTATCAAGCTGACCAGTTAATTAGTACTTATGTAGTTATTATTAGTTAAGTAGTAGTTAAGTGGAAATTAAAGTATTTAATTATGTGAATTCATTGCAAATATTATATCGGTAGTTGGCTTAGTAATTTACTTACGTCATATTTGTTTTGAGCTTCAAACTATAATTTCTAGATTATTCTTTTAATTTAACATTACATGAATTTGTAAAAAAATGGCTTTGAACTTCGAATGTAAAGAATTTTAAGGTAGAAAGTGTCATGTATTAGCTTTCTCCCATTTTCTTAACAAATAAACCACTAGATATTTTATGTTATACGAGAAATGTAGCCTACATTAAATGTATTATTGTTCACATAATGATTTTCTTATATTTACGCGAATACTATACATGGAATAACGGATTTTATCTCGTAAAATTTTAACTTTTCTAAATCCCGTCTTTGCAGACACTTTACAGCATCCATGGTCACGGGGGGAGGGGGATGGGACTGAGTTTGACATCCTGATGTCATAGTGAACAAAGGCTGCCATCAATTTTGAATTATAATTTTTGGTCCGATCTACCCTGAACAAACTTACAGTATCTTGAAGTTTTACAGTTGTATACTTGGGTTTGGATTGAATTGCTTAATTATGGAATCCCAAGCAAATGGTAGCACCCAACCATCTTCTCTATTGAAATTCGGATGTTTTTTTTTTAATTTCAGTAGCCTCACGAATCATCGGTGCTTCTCATCAAGATGTTGTTTTACGCGGGCTTTTATAGATATTTTTGTTTTTCTCATGTGAGGGAGACCACATTCACAATCAAGCTTGTACACTCCTGCATCTTGTAGAGGCATATTACACTGAACGGATGATGAGAACTGACTAGTCGTCTTCGGCGGCTTCTAATATGTTCATATGCCTGTTTCAATATGAAGCCAACCTTGTCTGTGCCTCCTCTGGCATAATATGGTAGTATAGCAGGCACACGCTCGACTGTGGGCAGTTTCACTCGGTAACTGTGACAGGGGCGGCACCCAAAGTTTGTTGTCGTGCTAAACTTGCTTGACATGCTGGAGCTCGGCGGCCAGGTGTTTACTGTCACAGTTGCGTTCTCTGCCCTTTGTTTAGGTTCTCTGGGTTTTGTTTTCCCACGGTAGCTAACTGTGAAGGATGATGGTGAGATTCACCGTTTAAATATTGGTTAGTACAGGTCTTCTTTCTACACACAGTATGACTGATGGTGTTATTAGGATTTCGAATGACTAAATCATCTAGGAAAGCTAAAGAATTATTTGCCTCGTTCTCCATAGTGAATTGAATTTAAGTTTATGGAGTTAATGTAGTCCCAGAAAGCACCATTTCAATAGAGAAGATGACTGGGTGTTACCATTTGCTTGGGATCCTATCTATACAATTAAATAAAATTGAAGTTTCTGTTTGTAATGTTGAAATAAGAGCTATTTACTAAATGCATATGAAAGTATATACGGTACTAATAACAAAAAAACAATTTTTAACATTTTCGTCTGTCTGTTTGTTCCGGCTAATCTCCGAAACGGCTGGACCGATTTTGACGGTACTTTCACTGTAACTTAAGATACTATTGTTTTTTTAAAAAAAAGAATCAGGGTTCCGCTCAAAAAAATTAAAACCCTTGAAATCGTAGTAAATTCTACGCGGCCGAAGTCGCGAGGGACAGCTAGTAATTAATAAAATTAAATCCAAACCCAAGCACACCATTGCAAGACTTCAAGATACTGTAAGCTCATTCTGCGTAAATCGGAACAAAAATGTATAATTCAAAGTTGAAGACAGCCGTTGTTCACTATAACATCAGGATGACAAATACCTTAATCCCCCCAGTGACCATGGATGCTGTAACTTTCCCGAAACGTCGGGATTTAAAAAGTTAAATTAAACGCGATAACATTCGTAAATTTTATTTTATTTCAACAAACGTTCAATTATGGATATAACTGTGATTGCACTGTCAGAGGGTGTCGCTCTAGAAGTATTCTTATGTTTAAGATATGCGCAATCTTGCTCTATGATCTGATAAAATCTGAATATATCGGATGAAATACTTGATTTTTTGTACCATGTTGGTCTGGGGCTTATAGATCTCATGTTTAAGCGGGACTTATAAAAAAATAATGTGCCAATTCTGTTATTTGACCAGTATATCGTGAGAAGCGACTAAAAAGATGTATAAATTTTTCACAATTTTCCATGAAAATCCATTTTTTGGTCCAACGTGTTCCGAGTAGCTCGCTGCTTTTTAGAATTACAGGCATGACGTTATGTATGTAATTAGGATTATTTATAACTATTTTGTAAAGGAAACAAAATACAAAAGATTAACGTTAATTCTGTATTAAATTTTAATTATAAAAAATAATATAACTAAAACATGTGATTTAGTTGTTAAAAACAATTCTATGGTTGGGAATATTTCACTGGGTAATTTTTTTATTATTCGTAGTGCAATTAAAGTGAAACAATATTGTAAAATTTGTTTTATTTCGAAAAATATAAGATGATAGAAATATGTTCTTATAATATAGTAATTATGATTACAAAGACTTTTATTATTAATATGCCATGACATTTCCCTATTTATTTGTCAGCGTTTTATTAAGATAGATCTACTAAAATATCAAAATACATTAATTCCTTATTATTTATTTAAAAGATAACATATTTAAAATCCCTGTTCTTACATATTTTAAAATATACTTAAAGTAAGATATAGATTTTTCTCTTTACACCATAATAACGAGTCTTTTCTTTGAGATATGATGTGTATATATAATCGACATAAGTAACATAATATGTATACATACCATTACAGCCCATTAAAATTCCACTGCTAAACATAGGCCTCCCACATAGATTGGCTCATGGGGAGGATGTTTGTCATAGTTGCCACGCTTGGCAAGGGGGTTGGTAACCACAGTATTTTGTTTATTCAGTTACAGCTTCCCTCTATCGCCCATTACGACTTCTATGGGATGATATGAAGTTTTAGATATTCTTAGTGATGGTAGGTGGATGATGTAAGCTTTAAACCCGTAGACATCTACTTATCATCAATCTTCGATTAGGAATCAAAACGCAGATGCGCTGTCGGTCCTGTTTGCTCAAATTAATGAAGAATGCCTCATTTCCAATAGAATGGGTCTCCAGTTCTCTGTTGGTGACAAATGAGCACACAGTCCAACTGATGGTAACTGGATGCTGTGGCCCATAGACATCTACATTTATCCTTTCTTATACAGCCACTACACGGTTAATGTATAATTACTAACGTGATTTTAAATGTATCATGGCCTAATTCATAAACTTTGGATCATTATTTCGGATTTATTTTAAAAATGTGAATGTAAGAGCAATCATTCAAAACCTATTTTATTTTTAAAATAATATCTATGAAATCACAGCCTTTGTTTTATTACCTAATGTGAGATTTCAAATAACATTTTTAAGCTCTGGCCATAGTAATGTCTTTTTTTTTCTTGTTTACAAAATCAACGACGTGCGAAATATAAACGAAAATGTTCTGTGAACCCCGAAGCCTATGAAGTTTGGAAAGACAAGGTATAATTATCAATATTATTAATATTATTATAATTATCAATATTAATATTTATTTTATACACATTTTCTCATATAAGTAAACATTTATCACAGAAAATATAATTATTAGCAAGTTATTGGCTAAGTAAATTCTAATCAAATATTATCAAATAAGTAGATTAAATTTCATGCTTGCAGGTGCTGGATATATTGATATTCATTTCATATATTTTGCGTGTGTCCGATCTTCAGTGGGATCACAATTTAATAGAAAATGTTTTATACAAATTATTTTAGTCAATAAAAACTAAATATACCTGTGTACGCTCTACAGTTATGAATGGACCTCTTTTTATTTCAGGAGGGGTTTACAATACGGAAGAGAGGCACGAATGCGTCTTAGCAAGTTTCATATGTTCACCAAATATTTTTATTTCTCAGATATTATGCAAAGCAAGTGATGAAACAACACTAAATACATCTGCGGGACGGGAATGGAACCCGGGTTGGTTTAGTATTGAAAAGTTAAGACGCGCCACAGCTCTAATATTCACGAAATTTCATTTTTTTGATTGTACTGAAGTAATAAACGAACTTGGAGTTTACCTGATGGTAATAAGCTGCTGCAGCCCATGAACACCCATAGCTAATTTTAATAATTAAAACTTAAAAATTTTGTACAACCGATCTCAATATAAATTATTACGAATAACTCAAAACCATTGGTCAGACTTTGATCAAATTTATATGGGACCACATGGGAAGCACCAGATTACAAATGAAAAAAGAATCATCGAAATTGGTTCACCCAGTAAGAAGTTATGAGGTAAAACACATAAAAAAAACATACAGTCGAATTGAGTACCATCTCCTTTTTGAAGTCGACAGAAAAAGAAGCGTATATCACCAATGGCGACTAAGATGGAATGCCTGACACCCTGTAATTATACTTGCTCTCTATAACCTGACCGGAACACAGAGGTGCAAGCACTACTATTTGGCGGTAGAAATGGGTAAGAGGGTAGTACCCTACACCTAGTAGAATAACCACCTAGGAGAATAATAATCGGCTAGCATCAAATAAATGTGCCTCTTATACATTTAACATTTTTTTTAAATATGCACTGCAGGCAGAGCGTTATATTGTCCAATCACTGTGTAAAAGCAATGGATGTTTTTAATATTTTATAAATAGAGACCCAGCCCAATCGCCTTTACTATATTCGAGTGAAGAGATGAAGAGAGTGACCTGATTGATATTTACTACAACTAAAGCAATAATACAGTTTGTACAAGGCTAGGTATTTATATATTATAACGAGGTAAAAAAAACTATTGATTTATGGTTAAAAATATCACATGCGCCAAAAAATGCAAAAACAGCATTTACTTCTTTTTGTAGCCGTAGGAATTGATAACTGAAACAAAACAAAAAATTTATTGATATGAATAAAATGTAAATTTTAATTATAAAAATAAGAATATTGGAGTTTAAAAAGTAAACTGCGTTTTTATCATAAGCTGTGACGAATTATTGATTTTAAATCGTTTACTGAGAACATTTGTAAAATTATTACAGTCATTTAACCAATTATAAAATTCAGTTATATACATACATACTCATATACATACATACATACATAAAGCATATTGGTACATAAATACAGTAAAAGCTAATCAAATCGTCTCTTTAATCTAGTGAATACGCAATTTTTTACGATACTACTGCGAGAATAAAAGGCATATTAGTAATACAAACCACTAAATTCTTGATCACAAAGAAGCAGCAGCTCCAACCACTGCGGTCCCGTCACCGGGGGTATAGTTAAAGTTCCTCCATAGCTGTCTGGAAGACACTTAGGATTTATATGTTTATGGAGAAGTTCCCTATCCTTGCCCAAGAATATGATACGAGAGCGTAGTTTCTCCTGGAGGAACGGCTTGAATAATTGGAATACCATATTAAATATATATGGTTGGTTGATTATGTAAAGCCCTTTAACTCGCAGAGGAATGCTTTCCTGAAAAGAAGCAAAATTGTAATTGATTATATAATATATTTCAAATTGACGGCTCCGTGGCGCAGTGGCTTAGCAATGAGTTGCAGCGCTAAGGGCCGCGGGTTCGAATCCCGCACGGAACAAGTATTAATATGGCCTACAAATAATTGTTCTGGGTCTGGATGCTTGTCCTTGTGAAATTTATGTATGTAAACTGCCCTCGCGATATAGGAGAAAATCCTAGTTTGGAGGTAACGTTTTAAAAAAGAAAAAAAAAATGAAAATCCGTATTATGATTATGTTCATTTGCTACATCCCCACTGCCAAACACATAGTATCCCTCTTATGCAGTGTCTACAAGTTTCTGGATCCCGCTCCTCCCAACTATAATTAATAGATGGTAACAAATCTTACACTTAAAAACAAAGTTTAATACTGAAAATGGACAAAATACTCCTATCGAGGGTTTTTAATCAGGAAATCATAAATGTCTCGCACCTTGGATGCTGCTTTACGTTACCGATATGTAGTTATTGACCACCTCGTTGATCTAGAGGTTGTAAATGCGACTGCTGATTATGGGCTCCAGGGTTCGAATCCTGGGTTGGGCCAAAAAATCAGTTATTGAGTATTCAAGAAATTCTCCGTAGTTGCCCGGAGTCAGGAATTTGGCGGTGTTTCATTCACCCCCGTGCCTCGGAAAGCACGTAAAGCCGTTGGTCCTGCGCCTGATCTCTCTCCGGTCGTGTCGGTTTACCGTCCCATCGGACTATGAGAGTGATTTGCATTTGTGCTTGCGCATACACTTGGGCACTATAATCCTATCCTGCGCCGATGGCTAGTCTCCGCTGCGGCTGACCACCGTGACCGAAATTTGGTCTGAAGGACATCATTATGTAGGTATTATAAATACACATTCTTTAATTGTGTATTATGACGAATGACAGTCAAATTATGACGAAGTGTATATAGACGGGACAAAGCTGTCAAAATTGTAACACATAACTTGTTACCTATAGCTAACGTGTACTCTAGTGCGATATGAGACCACGAGTAGCCGTATTCGTGTGCAATAACTTACACTAAATTTTTTTTTTTTCGAAAGAAATATTAAATACGTTACTGACTTGCTGACGTACGAGATCAAATTTTTTATATGTTATTATGTTCCAAATGGCTGCTCTATAAACTTTTGAATCTCTTTCCTATGCATGTCAATTAGGTGTATTTATAGCCCTTTTTTTAAATATTTCATATTGTATTAGAAATACTGGCGATCCGTCCCGAATTTGGGATCTCTACAACAGCGCCACCTATCGGGCCCAATTGCGAATCTAAACCATATAGGGACCTACTGGAATACACACAAAAATTTGATTAAAATGTGTCCAGCTGTTTTTGAGTTTTAGCGAGACTAACGGACAGCAATTGATTTTTATATGTAGAGATTGTAGTTAAGTTTTTGCTACTTTTCAATTTTAGTGCATTTCCGTGTTACTATTGCCGTCAAAAGCAATTTTTATATGTAAATAAATTGGATTAGTGTGTCAGCAACATTGTTAGTCAGTTTCGTCTGCTTTATGCATTGTTAAGTGCTGATATTCTTTGTTGTTTTGTTCTTCTCAATACACGATTGTCAATGACTCACTTAGTGAATTCGACGTAAACATGAAACTGACACAATTTATTTTGTTAAGAATATATAATTAAACTAATGTGGAAATTAATAAAGTGGTAAATAATATTATAAAAAAATTAAATAAGATCCATTCATGAAATATTTATCCTAAAAAAGAACTGTTCTAATTTACAAATTTATTCTAAATAACATTTATTACAAACTATTAAAAGTTCACTGAGTCTTCCTTATAGATTGCAGTTTTGGTTTGTGATATTTGCAATGGTTGCCCATGCTTGGTAGGTGGGTTAGCAACCGCAGTATTTTAATCATTGAATTATATGTACTACGTACTAGAGAATAGAGAAGCCTTTCTCAACAAAAAATGTGCACTAGTCTATGTCTTCGCGCATGCGCGGGAGTTACTAAAGTCGCACATGCGCAGTTGATTTAAGCGCGTTGTGCCTGCGCGCTCAGTTTATATAAAGAAACATATTTTTTCATGATTTTTTCTTTTGTAATATTACGATATTATTACCTATTTATTCATTTGAACAACAAATAATTTTACTTACTTGACTACTGAATTGTTATTTACGTCCAGGCTTAAACTTTAATTTGAAATCTTGTATTATTAGTGCCACTCCACACTGCATGAATATTGAAATTACAGACTAACTAGTCGATTGAAACGACAGTAAATGACACACTGTAAGGATTGCAGTACAGTTCAGTTGAACATAGTGGTGTATGTTCGGAATGCGAAATCTAGTACGTAGTACATTATATATATCGATGATTTTAATTATTTTGAGTTTTATCCCTTTTTCATTTCCCTCTGTCATCTCTTATGACAACCACGGGATAATATGGGGTAGTGATTTCTATTACGCTACACGGCAAGACGGCAAACTCACAATAATAAAAATTACTTTTGGCATTTCTACTAACAGTTGCAACTAGAGATGCGCCGAATAGTAATTTTGCCGAATAACCGAATACCGAATAATATTCGGTTTAACCTGTACCGAACCGGATATTCGGCCGAATTATTCGGTTTACGATTTCGTTGTTTTGCCGCGTAAACAGGTTAGCGAAATAGAAGATGATAAAACAAAAGTGAAGTGCACTTTATGTAGTTGTGTTATTTCTCGCGGTGGATCAGGCCGCAGCGCTTCGACGATTGGTATGACAAATCATTTGAAGCAGAAGCAGAAATAACAACTGCCAGCAACCACGTCTACTGCTGTAAGTGCTTCTGACACTTAGCATAGCTCAGAAACTTTGCCAAAAACGTCGAATGTAAAATCACTACAATCTATAGAGAGGCATTTATTACCAATTGGGACATAACAGACTAATGTTTAGTATTAAGAACGACTTTCCAAGTTAGCAGTCATCACCTTTAACCTGTGTAGTAGAGGTATATGACATATCACATATCATCCCGTAGGTTTCGTAAGAAGCGACAGAGGGAAATCGAAACAGTAGATGAACCTCGATCAAAGGAAATTCATAAATAAGTAAATCTTACTACAGAAGTTGTATTCTTGTTCTATACTTTGTAGTCTGTGTACAATAAATAGGTAAGAAAATTTAAATATTTGAACCGAATATATTCGGCACCAAAACCGAATAATTCGGCCGGATACAAATAGTGAATAAGGTGCCGAATACGCCGAATACCGAATACCAAACGAATATTCGGCGCATCTCTAGTTGCAACTATAGCGAATGTCCTCCTTATTAAGCAGTTTATGATGGAAACATAGGCGATATTCAGCAGAGAACTTTTGATAGGCCGTAACAAAAACGTTAACTGACCTATAGAGGGTAATCTGAAAGGGTATATATAATATTCTTGACGGCCACGTTAGTTTAGTGGCAACTGCTGGCCATGTGGTCCCGGGTTCGAATCCAGGTCGGCTCAAAATCAGTTATTGGGTTGTTCTCTCACGAAGTTCTCAGTAGCAGCCCGAAGTCAATAAGTTGACGATGTTTTATCCTGCCTCGATAAGCTGCTGTTCCTGCGCCTGATTTCTCTCCGGTCGTATCGGACTGCCGTCCCATCGAACTATAAGAGTCTCGTACATTACTGTCCAGTCCCGTGCAGATAGTAATCTCGGTTCAGACTGGCCGGCATGACCAAAATTCTTTTTGGGGTACTTTATTGAAGGACACATTACTGACATTGCTTTATTGATCAATAAGTTGAATTGGCAATGGGCCAGCAATAATGCTCGAAGAACTCATAGGCAAGAAACCCGGGGGGCCCACTGGACAGAGCGATGCCCTCATCAGTTTGACTCTGTACTATCCTTTGTTTGTATTTAGCAGTGGACCTGTAAAGAACTAATGAATTATGATGAGAATATAAGTAAAGATATATACCTGCAACCAGTCAACTATTCTCTTGGCAAAAGGCGGCGTGAACTGCCACACTTGCTGCATCGACAGACCGTCCATGTCGAAGATCACCACAGCACCGCAAATCTGTGTTTCGGGTTCCATCATGGCCGCCTCGAGGAACAAAACGCAGCCCTTGAATACTTCGTCTAGTGAACACTTGTTGTGTTTCCACTTTTCTGAAACGAAATGTAATCGTTTTCAAAATAAGGACACGGTATACTATAATGAAAATACAAAATAGTATCTGTGAAGACTGTTTGCCGGCCTGAAACAGTGTACTGCTGAACGTAGGTTTATACAAGTTGGGATAAGTTAACGTTTTAATATATCGCAGAACCAAGTTTGCGCTATATTATAGCTGCAGCACTAGCCGGTCGGCTCGACCTGAGAAGGAGAACCACTCTCGTGCAGAAATTCAACTTATAATAATCGTTTAATACTGCCGTAATTTACATGGTTAGTGACGAGAACTGAAGGCTGGTTACTGTTAAGGAGGCATTCCATCTTCGTTGTCAGTGTTGCCAATTGATAATGTACATTTTGATTCTTAATGAGGGCTAATAGTTTTCTGCTCACCAGATGTCGCTAGTTGACACTGAGGATTTTTTTTTAAATTGAGAAGTTAGATTTTAATAAATGTTTATCAGTTCTAGAGTATTATATTAATACACAAAACAATGCGTCAGTGGTTTGCTCTTTAATTTTTTGCACATTTTTAACTTTTTTTTTAATTTTTCTACTTTTATGAATATCTGTGGTTTGGTTTATTTAATTTTAATGTTATCATTTAAAATATAGCTAATAGCGCAGAAAAAAACAATAATATTTACATTTTTCGAACAAATTAACTTCCCCGCTAAGAAATCTGTCAAATATTATACCTCACTTTTAAGTGGCGTCGCCCTGGTGGCAGAAAAAGTCGTGGATGCCCTCATTGAGAACAGATATTCCTTGAAATTGTTAGCTGCCATTTACTTTAAAAATAGTTATTTCTCTCTTTATTGGGTGCCATGAAGTGCCATTATTTATTTCGCTTATTTGACTTTTGTTCTACTTTACCGAACGGGAGATTATCTTACACAGCCACCATTCGACAAATCCTTAAGTATGAGTATTAATTAACTTTTTATTGAGTTTTATTTTATTATATAAGAATACTATCGATTCATTTCGTCTTCGCACGGGTGATTTCTGGATTTCGACTACAGCGCCACCTACCGGGTTCAATTGTGAATCTAAACCATACAGCGACCACACACGAAAAAAATCATCAAAATCTGCCCAGTCATTTAGAAGGAGTTCAAAAATAATTAAAAAGATACTACATAATTTAAAATTTAAAATGTTGTACAACCGACTTCAATATAAATTATTAAGAATAACTCAAAAAGTATTGGTCAGACCTTAATCAAATTCTTCAATATATTCGTATATATGTATAATGAAATGAGAACATCATCAATGCAGTTGAAGTCAATTAAATACGCATTATTAACGATAACTCAAAAACTACTGATGATATCTTGATTTAATTTATATGGGACCACATGAGAAGCACCAGCTTTCAAATAAAAAAAGAATCATGGAAATCGGTTCACCCAGTAAAAAGTTATGAGGTAACACACATAAAAAAACATACTGTCGAATTGAGTACCGTCACCTTTTTGAAGTCGGTAGAAAACTATACTCTATCATCTCATGTGCGGTATAAAATTAAACTCACACACAGCGCTATTATGTTGATGATTTAAAAATGATATACAATTACTTTGACGTGGTCAATGTGAGCATTATGAAAATTATATCACAATTGTCCTTTTCGTAATTAGAGGATTTTATGATTGTGCCAATTACTGTTGTAATCAGAATATATACGTGCATTAAAAAACTATAACAAATACTTATAATTTCGAAGTTATTGTAGTTGTTTGAGTGTTACGTAGTTTAATAGATACTTATTTTTCGATGTAACGTTGCGTGAAATTTAAAACAAAATCCACTTATTTATACATAAAAACTGGCCAAGTGCAAGTCGGGCCACGCACAATGTAGAGGTAGGGTTCTGTAGTTGCACATCACAATACGTGGGCTTCTTGAACGAGCATAATAAGTGAGTTCGCGGTTTGACCGCTACAACTACTAATAATGGGCCCAGATAGGAAGATCGTAACTGAAGGACTTATTTTCAAATCAGACTTATGTGGAGTGATATTCAAAAAAGATTAAAAAACATATGAGGACTCTAATGAAATATACCATTTTAAAGCATAATATTTCGCAAACGGACCCTTGAATCGAAAAGATGTTGTTCCACACAACCAGTGTTTTTAAAAAAAACCTATCCAACGATACCCTACATGATGGAAAAACAATCATCTTCCATTTACTTGTATGGGTAGTACCCAAAATAAAAATGTTTTTTAAGATTTTTATTTCACAGTTTTTTAGGCGTGATTAATATGTATAACTATGTCAAATTCAGATTTGTAGCACCTAGGATCTCTGAGCAAAACCGCGGACGGACGGAAGTACGGACGGACATGGCGAAACTATAAGGATTCTTTGTTGTGTTACTACGGAACCCTAAAAAGCAGTGACATGGTTGATTTTATACAATGACTTTTAAAAAAATTTGTTTAAAACCTTTATTTGTCTGTCAGTTTGATTGCGTATTCAATGCGCTTCCGGCAAGAGCAAGACCAATTTCAACATCATTATTTTTATTGTATAATTTATAGTCGCGTCTTAAAAAACTTAGGTAAGTTTTATTTTAACCGGTTCAGTAGAGTTGAAAAAAGTTGAACGTGTTATACAGTTACTTGGCACCCGTTCAGGTCTTGTCTCTAATCGGCGATGCCGCTAACCCAGATAGTCTAGTACCGAACTTGGTTTGTTTTTAGCCGACTTCAAAATGAGATGGCTTACAATTCGGCTGCATGTTGTTTTGTATTGTACTCGTACGATACGCGATATCTTCTGTAACTGTGAACAGATTTTGATGTTTCTTTTTTATTAAATGAGTTATTCTTTAGAGGTGGCACCATATACCCGTAAATAAAAATTAAATAAATAAAAATTGCAAGGGTTTTTATTACAAAAAATTGTTATTTTTATATATATCATCATCATCATCATCATTACAGCCCTTCACAAGTCCACTGCTGAACATAGGCCTCCCCCAAAGAATGCCACAAAGCACGGTCCTGAGCCACCTGCATCCATCGACTTCCTGCATGTCTTACCAGGTCGTCACTCCATCTCGTGTGGGGACGCCCTACACTTCGCCTACCGGTACGAGGCCGCCACTCGAGAACCTTTCTTCCCCATCGGTTGTCGGTTCTTCGAGCTATATGGCCGGCCCACTGCCACTTCAGCTTACTAATCCGTTGGGCTATGTCGGTTACTCTGGTTCTACTGCGGATATCCTCACTCCTAAGTTTATCACGCAGAGAAACTCCGAGCATAGCCCTCTCCTCCCTCTCCACTCGAATATATATATTAATAATATTTACTTACTGCCTAATTCAAGTACAAGTACTCGCCGACCAAGTTGGTCTCGTGTAGGAAGCACTGTGAGAATGTTCTGGTTAAAGATGTTCTGTTCTTTGCTCGGCGTCAGACCGTCGTAGTGCGTGTGGTGCTTTTGTTTGAATGCGTAGTAACGTTTTATCTGAAAATATTGAGACTCTATTTACATTGTGATTTATTTTTTCTTGCTGGATGTCGCTGAATTACTAATTCGTCGGTTTATTATAATTTTGACTAAATTATGACATGACATTCAAATATTGGTTTAAATTAGTCATTCAAATATAATTAAAAGCAATGATAATATTAGTAAAGTATAATCGTAATGATTTTTTATATTAACGCGATACTACACATGGAATAAAACATTTTTTTTTTAAATTCCCGACCTTTCGGGCACTTTACAGCACCATGATTACTGGAAGGATTGAGGTGTTTGACATCCTGATGTCATAATTAACGAAGGCTACCTACTACTTTTAATTATTAATTTTTGGTCAGATCTACGCAGAACGAGCTTAGAGTATCTTGAAGTGTTGCTGTAGTATGCTTGGGTTTGGATATAATTTTATTATAGGTACCAAGCATAATTAAATGCGATAAAATCCGTAAAATTAGTTCTATATAAATTACAGCAATATTTATAAGAAGGAGTTATTAAAAGCTACACAAATTACACAATTAAATAGATAATTTGCTACTTATGGTAAATTGAGGTATATGAGAATTTTTAAGTATTTTTTGAGTTCTACAAAAACTTGTAATTTTTTGTGGTTACAGCCTTCGAGCATCATCATCATCATCATAATCAAAATGGCACAAAACACGAGCCACCTACATCACTCTATCATCTAGTGAGGTCATTCGTTGGTCACTCACGGCGTAAATGTGTAAATTGTAATCTCACACGCACGTTAGTCATGAAAACCACTCACCAAATCATACGCGCTTTCTGGGTAGAACTTGCAAGGTCGCAGGAACCTTTTGAGCCACGCTTCGCTGTGCAGGGGTACATGCAAGTTTTTATCATCTGTAACAATAAAATATATAAGTTGCCAGTAACATCACGTATCGGTGGCATAAGAATAAATTGGCCTCTAAAAAGCTTGGCGTGCTCAACAGAGCGGGACAGTATTTCATGCCGGCATATCGCCTGCAACTTTACAAGGCGCAGGTTCGAACTCACATGGAATACTGTTCCCATCTCTGGGCAGGGGCTCCCCAGTGTCAGCTCCTTCCACTTGACCGCATCCAGCGCAGAGTGGCTCGAACCGTCGACGACAGAGTCCTTTCTGTTGTCACTGCGAAGAGATGTTGCATCCCTTTGCATTTTCTTTCGCATCTACCATGGGGAGTGCTCTGAGGAATTGTTCGGATTAATCCCAGCCGCCAAATTTCACGAACGTACATCGCGGCAGAACTCCCGATACCATCCACACCATCTGGATGATTGGCGGTCCACCACTGTGCGATTTAGAAGATGTTTTCTTCCTCGCACGACTTCCTTGTGGAATCGATTACCATCAGCAATTTTCCGGACCGATACGACTTAGGGATCTTCAAGAAAAGAGCGTACTCCTTTTTAAAAGGCCGGCAACGCATCTGCGATTACCTCCCTGGTGTTGCAGCTGTTCATGGGCGGCGGTAGTCACTTACCATCAGGTGAGCCGCATGCTCGTTTGCTCCCTCTCCTATAAAAAAATAAGATAATAGATTATATCCCATCTTTGATCTAACATGAGATTTCGCTACTGTGGACTGTGGACTGTGGTGTTGACGGGTCTATGAAACCAACCGTCATACATACATACATACATAAACACTCACGCCTGTCACCCAGAGGGGTAGGCAGAGACTACGGACTTCCATTTGGCGCGATCCTGACACACCTCTCTCGCCTCCTTTACATCCATATATCTACGCATACACGCTCGTCGGTTAAGGGTACTCCTAATCTGGCCCATTTTTAATGTATCGCCGATTTGGTCGATAAACCTTCGTCTAGGGCGTCCCTTCCCGATCCTGCCGTTCACTTCTGCAACATAAATTTGCAAATCAAAATATTTTTTTTATAGAATAAGGATGACAAACGAGCACACAGTCCACCTGATGGGGAATGGATGCTTTGGCCGATAGACATCTTCATCTATCCTCGATTAAGGATCAAAATGCAGATGCGCTGCCACGTCTGAGGAGTGAGGACTAAGATGGAATGTCTCGCTTCCAGTAAAAAGGGTCTCCCGATCTCTACACTCACCATACGAAACACAGTAACATCAAGCTGCTATTTGACGCTGGTATTTTATGAGAGTGTGGTACATCCCCGGTCAAGCTAACCCATTTGTGCTGCAACCATGATATAGCTGCAACATGACTCTACGATGTTTGAAATTATTATCAATATAATGGTTTATTAAAGACAATTAAAAATAATTGGTGATTTATACAAGAAAATATTCCCAAAATAATTATTATAGCTTTTTAATATATAATATATAAATTGAGATCTGTTAATTAATTATACCCACTGAATGTAAAAAAAAAACATAGGTCATTCCGGTATTTTACCTTATTTGTGCATGACAAAGAGACCAGTTTTTATTTAAATCAACGAGTTTTGAAGTACTTACTTATTTAATATCCTATTAAATATCTGAACGACAAACAAACTAGAATTATTTATGTGATTGTTTTGGTGTAGGCACGGCTCCTGATCATGTGGCCCGGGTTTGAATCCCGCTTGGGCTCAAAATCAGTTATTAGGTCATTCTGTCAAGAAATTTTCAGAAGCATCAGGGAACCTGATGGTGTTTCCCCTTGCCTCGTAAAGCATTTAAAGCCGTTGGTCCTGTGCATGATCTCTCTCCGGTGGTGACTGATTGCTGTCACATTGGATCAGCAACAGAGTCTATACCTGTGATTGCGTACACTCTAGTACACTAATCCTGTCTTGCACAGATGGCTAGTCTCCGTTGAGACTGGTCGCCATAATTCAAATTCGGTCTCGATAACATTAATATTTAATAATTTATTATATTTACGCGAACACTACACATTGAATAAAACTACTTTTACGGATTCTATCGCTTTTAATTAACTGGTTTTGTATTGAATCCCGGGCTTTCGGGTACTTTACAGCATCAATTGGTCAGTCAGTCCCCCGTGATCATGGGTGCTGTAAAGTACACGAAAAGTCGGGAATCAATTAAAAACATGTTAATTAAACGCGATAGGATCCGTAAAAGTAGTTTTATTCAACGTTAATATTTATTTGAGGTTGAGTTTAGTTGGAGTTACGAAACCATATTTTTATAGGTAGATATTATAAAACGACAAATATGAAGGGCATTTTATTGGAGACATCGCCTTGATCTTCGCTATTAGCTCTATTAGAAAATGGGTTTTCCATAGGCATGAAAAAATATATTTAAGTTTTAGGTTAGTTTTAAGTAAACTTGCGGTTGTAAACATTTTTGTTATTATTAACAGAAAACTATGTCAAACTTAGAGGCCTTTAAAATTTTCCTTTTAGTAAAAAAGTAATAAGTACTGTTTTGAAATAATTTTGGTAATTTTTCTTTTTCATACAAACTCAAGTCGATTTATGATGACGTAAATTTATAGAAGAATATTTCTATAGTATGCTCGATCAAAGTTAATTTCGATACGAGACACCATTCAATTGTTGAGTTTAAATTTTAGTATGATTGTGAAATAGATCATCGTATATCAACTCAATTGCTCCGCCAGTCTAGTCTTTCGATTGTTTGCTAATTTATTTCACGAAACGAATCGAAATAAAAAACAATAGAATCCATGACCTGTCAGAACATTTAACGACAATAATGTTTTCGAATAATTAAAGTTCATCTTATGAATACTAATGACTATTATTCTTCTCCGTTTTTTATCTTAATTAAAAAGAACGTTACCCCAATTCAAGGAAGGTTCCTTATACCATGTAGGCGTTTTGTAGACATTCATTGCACTTAAACAAAAATCAAAATCTAAACAAAAATTTGTAGGCCATTAAACGCATTTACCATGCAGGGTTCGAACCCGATATCCCGCAGCCAAATGCTAAGCTACTGTGCCTTACCGAGGTGCTGTTTGCATACTGGCTGCAGCCAACATTTGCACAAAAACAAATATACTGGTTGTCAGGTCTGGTTGTGTAGTCATTATCCCCATGTCGTTGACACTGCATACCTGCTACGGCTACCTAACCTTTCAATATCCTTTCGTATCGTCTTTAACCGTTATTTCGGGCTTTCGGGAGAACTTAAAATTTGATTATGTTTCGAATACCAGTTCCGACATGGTTCTTAGTTTGCAATATCAATGCTACGTTTGGAGAGGACTGTGCGTTTGGTTCAATCGTCTCATTTGCATCTTTCGTAATGGAAACTTCAACTTGAAGAATGATCAACGAGAAAACCAGAAACGACGGTAAATAACAAATAAAATAAAAGATGGAAGCCGAATCATACAACCAAAGAATTAGCGTCATGGTTTAGTGTTAGTTTACCCACAATATAGGTGGACTCATTTGAATCAAGTTGGTAAAATAAAAAGAAATCGAGAATTGGGTATTAAAACTGAAGCTACAACCAATAATGTCCCACTGCTGGGCACAGGCCTCTCATTTTTGAAAGGGTTGAGAAATGGTGTGTCATGAATTAACTGATGTGCATAGAGGAGCAAACGCATGCTTTTATGAGAAGATATAAAAATGAACTTACTGTAAGTGATTTGGGACCAAATTGCGACGTGTGTGTTAAACACCAGAACGATAGAGTTGAATTCACCCATAGTAAAGTAATGATAACTGTTAGGTGGTCACTATAGCTTTATTAGTTCCAGTGTATCATCAATTAACAGCAGATATCTATTGTAAAGAACTTCGAATAACGATGTCAAAGCAATCAAATAAACTACCCCGACTCGTCAATCGATCTTCGCCTTTATTGCTCCATGATAATGCAAGTTCGCTCAAAAACTGTTTTAACATTACAAGACCTGCAGTTAGAAACACTAGCCAGACCTACCCCAAACATATTACCATTTTTCCACATACCAAATAATTTCCAGCAGGAAAAAAATTTTGCGGTACTAAATGTCTTTATAGACTTTGTAGAGTCTAGATCCCCAAAGCTATATCGCAATGGTATAGATGATCTTTCCTCTAGATGGCAGAAATGTATAGATAATAAAGTTAAATTCTTCAGTTAGATAAATATCTTTTTGTTTTAGAAGAAAATGTTTGAATATCTAATATAAAACAGGAATTTTGATGTTAATTTACTTTAACACTTAACTCTTGCTTGTTGTTATGTATTTTTAGTTTTTTTTTGTTGTTTTATCACGTTTCAGTTTTGTACAAAAATAGACTGTTCAAAAATAAGACATGATAAAACGCAGTACATTAACTGCATCACCTTAATCCATCAAATGCATTATTAATACTAAACTCACCTTCGTACAGTGATTCACTTGGTAATTCAACTTTAAATTCTACATAATATTAAGTGTACCTTGTAATTAATTAAAATAAAATATAAATTACCTTCCAATAATTTTCTTAAGTCTTCTATAGCTGGTTTGACCACTTCGGGTGTTTCGCGCAGCTCTCTCCGGGCAATCTCCCGTATTGACTCCCTCGGGTCATCTAACTCTATTTGCAGCAAAAAATCGCCTAGTTGTACAGCTGGTAGCTTCGAAACATCTGACAGCATATGCCGAGATACTGGAACAACAATATTTTTTTTTATATATTACAGTGTATTAGCATTGACAAAAATACCATTATATATTTTAATGAATATATTTAAATAAAGAATGAACGAGGAAAGAGTGACAAAGCAAATCTATATTGCAGATGTGAACGGCAGAGTCGGGAAGAGACGCCTTAGACGAAGGTTTATCGACCAAATTGGCGATATATTGAAAATGGGCCAGATTAGGAGTACCCTTAACCGACAAGCATGTATGCGTAGATATATGGATGTAAAGAGAGGTGTGTCAGGATCGTGCCAAGTGGAACTTCGTAGTCTTTGCATAGCCTTCTGTGTGACAGGCGTGAGTGTTTATGTATGTATATTTTAATGAATAGAGTCGTGATAGCTCAGGAGGGTTAAGCGCTCACCGCGAATTCCACAGTACGCAGGTTCGTTCTAATATTGAATAAAAAAAAATTAATATTAGCCATTGTCTTTAATATAAACGGTCTCGGAACGACGACAGACAGAACATAAGCGATTTTTCAAATTTGGATAAGCAAGGTAAATATTATCCGAAATCAATTTATCCGTGAATTTATTTGTAGTCGTAATTATTCTGACTGAGATGCTGACTAAATAAAGATATGTCAAAAAGTTGTTTAACGTTGAATAAACAGATTGATGTTCATAATTTTTAAATATAAGATAAACATTCGTTAAATACAGAGAATACCTACATCTTTCGAGGCTGAAAGACTTACCTACAGCAAAATATAGGGACTACAAGTGGTAAAATTAATAATTTTGTACAATCGACTTCAATATAAATTATTAAGGATAACTTAAAAACTACTGGTCAAACCTTGATCAAATTTATATGGTCCCATATTCTATACTTCCCAGGGGAATATATTAAGTCCCTTATATTCCCCTGGGAAGTATGGCCTTTGAAACAAAAAAAAAAGAATTTTTTAAATCGGTTCAGATGTATTCGAGTAATCATATAATAGTGAACATACATAAACAAGATTCCGATGAATTAAGAACCTCGTCCTTTTTGAAGCCGGTTGATAAACCATGACACACAGTCTTTTAATTTAAATTTTATTTTTCTTTGTCTTCCATATAACGGTGACTGTTCACTATACTTGGCATGCTAATTGGCAATCATATAAAACATTTCCAACGCTGTTCCCTGCGGTATTTTACATCTGGTATGTACAAGGTTATCCCAACATAAAACGGAAGCCTTGAGATCTTGATAACTATTCAGTGTAAATATTATTTCATCATTTAGGTTAATAGATTATATCGCAGTTGGTTCAACCGTTTATTCTAAGTCGACTTAGAAAAAGAAGGAGGTCGCCAATTCAACTGAATGTTTTCTTATGTGTATCTCTATTCGTAACCTTTCATCTTATTTTGTTTAATAATTCGTCAAAAGAGTTTATAGACATCCATATTTAAAAAATCTCTGGATAGATAGATCTTTTTACATAATATTGACTGTTTCGGGTGTTAAGGGGATGCACCCAATAACAATAATACCGCAACAATGGAATCGCAATCAGAAAATCGTCGTCATTATTCGCTGGCAGAATGTCTAGGCTCAATGGCTAGCGTCTCTAAACTGGACCTTGTTATTCCGAAGGGAAAGAAACGTATGTGTGTGATGTATTTACGGTATCCCGTATCGGAATTTCGAAATGCAATCCCGAAAAGGAATTCCGAATGGTGGCCGGCCTTTGTCCACACAAAAGGGTTAAAAATTAAAATTTTAATTAAATTTAAAGCGTTAAAGAACTAAAAAGCCTATACAGGTGTAATTATTCTAAACACTTTGTCATAGCACCGACTTCTGAAGCTTTTATGTATATACTAGCTGTTCCCCGCGACTTCGCCCACTTGGAATTTATTACGATTGGATTTTATGGGTTTTAGTATTTTTCCGCGGAACCTTAATTCTTTTTCCAAAATAAAAGTAGCCTAAGTTACTCCTTATAACATTAAATATCTGCCAGTAAAGGCCCGTCAAAATCGGTCCAGCCGTTTCGGAGATTAGCTGGAACAAACAAACAGACAGACAAAAAAATTAAAAATTATGTTTTTGTTATAAGTACCGTATATACTTTCATATGCATTTAGTTAAAAGCTGCTATTTTGACATTACAAACAGACACTTCAATTTTATTTATTTCTATGTATGTATGAATAGATTTATAGTTGTTTTTAGTTCATTAAAGTCAGCATTTTTTTTTAGTTTAATGTTTATAACTAATTAAATCATCCATTCTATTATTTAGAAATAATTTACGACGCTATATGAACCGTAGCTTCACTTTAAAGTGATAAAATCATCATCATCATCATCATCATTACAGCCTATCAAAGTGCACTGCTGAACATAGGCATCCCCTATAGATTCGTTGAGGATACATTTGCCACAGTAGCCACGCGTGGCAAGTAGTTTGTTAATATTTTGGGTCGTTATTAGGAAGTTGCTGCCGCGCATCTTCCATTTTACTTTCCATCAGGCGACTGTTAGGATAATAACGACTTAGTAGTCTTTTCAAGTTATGCCGTGTTTATTTAATCAAATTTAATAGTATTACAGTTAAAAAGCTCCTAAGTGTACATACTAATTATGTTTATCGTTTTGGCATTCTGCACAAGACATGTTGCTATTCGCGTCCGTAGAATTCAACGAGGAAACGTAGCCAGTAATATATGTCATTTCAATACGATTAATATGAAGATAATTTTAACTAATTCTGATTTATCGCATTTAATTTAAACTTATTTTATTTTTGACGTTTCGAGTACATTGCTGTACCCACACAGTTCGAGTACCTAAATACAATAAATAACAATAGATAATTAGACAATATTTCATTATATACTATATTAAAAGCTATAATTAAAAAAAAAAAACTAAAACTAGTAACTTAATTATCATACAGTTCTACTCCCCACGGTATCGTGCCAAGAACGCTGGCTACGTTTCCCCGCTGAATGGCTATACTAGTCAATTATATTACCGAATAAAAGTGAAATACCGATCTTGTGCAGTATGATTTCATCCCTTTTCCAGTTAAATTTTGATCATGGCGAAAACATATTCGTGGCATTATCTATATCTAGCTGCCTGTGTATATTATGCGCTCAATTTTTGCCTATCCGCGCCCGATATACAGGGTTTTATATACAGGTATTTCCCCTCTATCGAGACATACATAAATTGCGCAAGGACAAACATCCAGACTCGAAACAATTATTTGTAGGCCAAACAAGAAATTCGTACCTGCGACCCCCAGCGCCGAAACTGAATGCATTGTAAGAACAGAATAACGCATTATAATTTGTGGATTTTTTAAAGGTTGACAAAGTGTAATGCCATTAAAAATGCATTGACTTCGGTTAATTACAAAAACACACAAAACAAGTGACATTCTGTACCCTTTAGCATAAGCACATAAAGTAATATGAAAAATTAAAGAAGCAAACGGACCGCCTTGGTATTTCCATTTATAGCTTCTTGCCTTACCGATATGCTGCTTTTAATGGAAATAAAAAGGTACGTGTAAAAAAGTTTACGTGTTTTTGTATGCCTTTGTTCGATGTTTTTGCTCCATTTTTAACTTCAAAAAGGTGGAGGTACTCAATCGACTTTATTTTTATGTGTGTTACCTCATAACTTTTTTCTTGGTGAACCGAGTTTGATAATTGTTTTTTATAATTGAAAGCTGGTGCTTTCCATGTGGATTTGTGAAGTAATTTGATCAAGATCTGACCTATAGTTTTTGAGTTATTCTTAATAATTAATATTGAAGTCAGTTGTACAACATTTTTAATTTTAAATTATCTTTAGAAATAATAGCCATTAGAAATATTTATTATAATAATTGCTTGCTCGGTTGTTACAACACCAGTATTAAACATCTTTAATCCACTTGATTGATTTGTAGTGGCGTGCGAGAATCCATCATTTGGTCCCATATATGTCGTAAAGGCCATTTTTTTTTAGAATATAGGTAACAAACGTGCACACAGACCACTTTATGGTAAGTGGACATCTACATCTATCCTCTATTAAAAATCAAAACAGATGCGTTGTCACCCCTGAGGACTAAGATGGAATGCTTTGTTTCCAGTGAAAAGAATCTGCGGTTTTCTACACTAACCGTACGAAATATTAAGCTGCTTTTACGAGTACGCTGGTATGGCGTGAGCGTGATCTTTGCCCGGTCGATACGACCCATTCGTGCTACAACTGAGGTGTATAGGTATACTAATTATAATGAATACGCGGCTTCAGCGTGGCTCTACCACGTGTATTTGGGAAATACTTGGAAAATCTTGTTTATGTTTTTTTTAATAAGATAAGGGTGACAAACGAGCACACAATCCACCTGATGGTAAGTGGTTGCTAGGGCCCATAGACATCTACATCTATCCTCTATTACAAATCAAAATGCAGATGTGTTGTCACCCGTGAGGACTAACATGGAATGCCTCTTTTCCAGTAAAAGGGGTCTCCGGTTCTCTACACTCACCATACGAAACACAGCAGTGTTAAGCTGCTATTTTACTGCTATTTTATTTTACGGCTGACAACGCATCTGCATTTTGATTCGCAAACGAGGATAGATGTAGATGTCTATGGGCCACAGCAACCACTTACCTTTAGGTGGGCTGTGTGCTCACTTGTCACCCTTATCCTATAAAATGTCTTTTGTACCATATATATATATATATAATATGGCACAATGTCTTTTGTACCTAAATAATGTTTTTTATTTAGATCTAAAGCCGAAATATTTTCTTTGTCATTTAATGACGAATTACTTGAATTTATGCAGATGCTTTATCTTTTTTATTGCTTAAATCAAATTCCTTATAACGCATAGACTTCTTACACGTAAAAAGTCTATTTAAAGCCAAAAAACACAAGATATTACACGTCAAAATCACTACCGTTATAATCATCACCATCGTTTCAGTCTGATACAGTTCGTTGCCTTCTTGT